TTTTTCTTTTTATTATTATTATTATTATTATTAATTTTTGTCGTTTTTTTTTTTTATCATTTGTCGAATTATTTTCGATTATTATTATTATTATTATTTGTAATTGTTTAACTGTTATAATGCATTTTCGAACTTGTTTGTTTGTTTGATTGTTTTTTTTTTTTTTTTTTTCGTTTCGTTTTGTTTCGTTTTGTTTTATTATTATTATTATTATTATTATTATTATTATTATTATTATTATTATTACATTTGTTAGGTTTACGTGTGAAATCGTCCAATCATTATTTTAATTAATAATTTTTAATAATTATTTTTTTTTTTTTAAATCGATCGAAATTATGTTTAAATAAATAAATAAACGAACAATCGAATATAAAAGGTTTATGGTAAAAAAAAAAAATAAATAAAATAAATAAATAAATAAATATATTTATGTAAAATAGTTATTAAAAAAACGAGAAGGAATTAATTATTAAAAATATTTAATCATAATTTTTTTTTTTTTTTTGTAATAAATTAAAAAAAAAAAAAAAAAATTTGAAATTTTATTATTTATATATATATATATATATATTTACATAATTTTTTTTTTCTGGAATGAGAATGAATTTTATTTACAAATAAATAAATAATTTTCAATCATTTAATTTTATTTTATTAATAATTTTTTTATAAACGTATGTAATTTCAAAAATTCAAATTTTCTTTAATAATAATAATAATAATAATAATGTAATACACAAAATTATAATTTTTTTTTCTCGACGACAATTTATTTTAGTAACTTTATATATAATTGAGAGAAAAAAAAATTTAGAATGATGATAAGAAAAAAATTTATAAAATTTTAATATTTACTACTACCCCTACTACTACTACTACTCCCCTATAATTTTCAATTTTATTATTATTATTATTATTATTATTATTTTAAAAGGAAGAGGGTTATAAAAATATATTTAATTTTCTATTTTTTTTTGTTCTTTCGACCGTTAATAAATATTTATTTATTTATTTTATTTTTTTAAAATGTAAATCGTTTATTATTATTATTATTATTTTAAAATTTGTTTTTAAATGTGATTTTCCTTCTTTTTAAATAAATAAATAATAAAAGGTAAATAAAAATAAAAAATATAATCTGAATTTTTAAAAATATTTACACACAAACACATAAATATATATATATAAATATAAATTTTAGATTTGTATCTATTTAAAATAATATTAGTTAATTATAAAATAGTACAATAAAAATAATAATAATAATAAAATATATTCAATTTTAATATTCATTCATTTTTATTACAAAAAAAAAAAAATTATTTAAACAATTCGGTGTTTTTTTTTTTTTTTTAATTTACTCACGACTAACGTGAGTCGATTGGCGAATCTTAAACTCAAGATTCAGTTTGGTAACATACACACTCGAAACCTTCCCATTTTTATCTTTCAAATCTGGCATACCAGATTTACGAAAAGTATTAAAATCATTTTCCTCTTTTCCAAATGATGACCAATCCTTGAACGTCACTGGTTGCCAATAAACTTTCATCGTAATTGAAACTGACACCCAAAACAGGACATGCATGACCCTGAAGTTTATTAACAATGGGTTTTTCTTCTTTTTCTATATCGATAAAATACACGCAAGAATCCTCGCTTCCTGTAACTGTTATTTTTATAAATTATAGTAAAAAAATTTTTTGAATCGTGTGAGAACGAAAAACAAAGTTTAAAAATCTCACCCACGCATGCACCCTGCCTGAATGACATCATAGGACAAAATGTCGATCTTAAAAGTTCGGATTTATGACGTATATTAAATTTTTTTTTTAATTTAAGACCACCTTCTGCGTTTTCGACCCTGAAAAAAAAAAAAAAAAAACAATACAAATTTTGGTTTTATTCAAAAACAGTTTTTTGATCTTAATTGAAGATTACCACTACCTGTACAAGCATAAAACATTTGCCGCACAATTTACTAAAAGTGTTGGATCTCTAGCTTCTCGACTAATCCAAGCTTTCCATGACAAGCAAGTGACAGGACGATTATCGGCAATGATAATTTTTTTTTTCTTGTGAAGTTTCCCTGTTTCCGATTCAAATTGAAAAGATGTAATGATTCCTTTATCATTTCCTGCCCAAACATTGCTTCCCATCGAATCACATGCTATTGATAAAATTCTTCCTCCGACTTTGTTCGAACCTCCCTTTGGATAAATTCCAGCAGATACATTTAAAACATAAACTACTCCTTTCGAATTTCCTGCCTTAGTAATAAGTGAAGGAACTACTGAGTTTGTTTTTTATTAGAATTTATATTTATTAAATTAAAAAAGGATACTATTATCATGTTATTATTTGCAGGTTGAAATATGCAACAAAGAACTTCAGAATTCGATTCATCTCGAACGACCCTCAAACATTTTCCCGAATATGAATTCCATAATCTGACAGTGCAGTCTAAAGAACAACTAACTACTAAATCGTTATTAAGTGACCAGTCAAAGCAAGTTACTGCTTTTTCATGTTCTCTAAGTATAAAATCAACTTCTGGAGGAGAACTGGAAACATTGCACAAAGAAATTGTACCATCACTGCTGGCACAACATAATCGAGATTTATCATTGTTTGCAAATTTCACCATAACAACAGAAGCTATATGTTGATCAAATATGTGATGAACTCCAACAAATGCATAATTTTCTGAGATTGAAGTACCACCAACTATTGCTCTGGATGCTTCTGCTTCTTTTGTCGGTACTAATGAATACGGTTCTTCATATTTTGAATTTAAATTTTTTGTCATGATAGTACTAGCCTTAAATTAAAAGAAAATGTACTTCTTGTTAGTAAAAATAAAAACCAGCAATTACTTATTTTTTAAATCTAGATGAAGTTTAAATTTTGAAAAATTTAAAAGAATCAAACACAAAACATAAAATTATAATAAATAAAGTTGCGCCTAATGATTTTACATTAGGCGCTTGAATTTAATTTAGTATCAAAACCAGAATATTGAAGTTTGAAAAAAAGTTTAGGTTATCTTTGAGTAAGTAAATATTTTAAAACTTTTTTAGTACATATATATATATGATATTGATTTTTATCAATTTAATTTTGACAATTTTTATAAATTTTAACCAACACACCTTGTTAACAGTTTTGTTGTTTTTGCTACGTATGCTTATTTGGTCATAAGCAGGGCCTAATGCAAAATTTATACCATAGTATTGTTGTAAAAAAAATGCTCTCATTTTTATATATTGTTTTCTAAACGATAAATTTTTACCCTTAAACGCTTCCTTTAACAACTGACTTCTTCTACGAATGTATAAAGCCCCTAAAATGTAAAATTTTAGTTAAAAGATTTCAGTTTATAAAAGGCCGATAAAAAGTTTTAATTTAACCTAACTTTAAAATACTCACTTAAATTAGAATCATTGGGAAACCTATAAGCATTACTCCGAGCATCTAAAGCAAAAACTTGCTGCCATAACGATGTCATTTTAATTTTATTTAATGTATTTACACCTTCATCAAGAATAGTATTTTGTAAACGAACAGTGTCAGAAAAATCTAAAGACACGGTGTCATTGAGGGCTTACAAAATTTTCGATATTAAAAACTTTTTATAAAATGTAAAAAAAAAAAAAAAAAGTTATAATTAAAAAATAAAAAATATGTAACTTTGGATTAATTGCAACAATTGTTGACATTTTATTACTCAATATATATTTAAAATGACAAAGTGTACTTTTGGTCGCATGGCTCGGGTAAATTTTAAAACAATTTTCAGGAAATCAGATGTTTAGGTAAAAAGTATTTAAAGCACATTTACCAAAATTATTATATTTAACGTTATTTAGTATCTTTATAAGTAGAAATGCTTCGAGTTATTAACTTATTTACTCGTAAAAAGTCTTTAGTAATTTACAGAGACAAATCTTCTAATGTTAGTTATCAGTCTCATTTGGAAAATTTGCTAGAAAATATGCCTTTTAATGTTAAAACTCAAAAACAAGCTCGACGTGCGTACGAGGCCAGAAAAGACAAATTTCCAAAATTGGCTAGAAATAATAAAAATGTTTACTTAGAAGTACTTGGGAATGGAGCCTATGGTTCAACTAGATGTGTATTCATAGTCTCTGATACTAGTCGATATGTATTTAATTTCGGAGAAGGAGGCCAAAGATTAGCGAATGAACATAAAATAAAACTAATAAAGTCTCCTCATGTCTTCATTACATATCCATCTTGGGAAAATATTGCAGGCTTACTGGGGAAAGCATTAACTTTGCAATCCATAGGTATCCCAGAAATTTTTATACACGGACCAAAAGTAGTAGTAAGTACTTTGTGATTTGTAAAAGTAAATTTTTTTTTAGTTTGGAAGCTTTTTAAATTTTTAACATAAAATATATTTTATGAATTGCTTACAGGAAAATGTATTTTCTGCAACAAATAAATTTATCTATTTAAGATCTATTAATTTTTACATGATGGAAAGTAAACCATTTTCAGAATTTAATGATGGTTTTCTCAATGTTAAATATGTGCCTCTTTATCCATCATCTGAAAGCAATTTGAGTAAAAATCAATCAGATTCTCAACTTGTTAAATCTGCAGCATCTACTAGTCATTCAGATGATTTTCAATTAGAATCCAGTGATATTGATGATGTCTCAGATTATTATGAACATTTAATAACGGGAAAACGACACAAACTTAAATCCTTTGACTCGAATAAAAATAAAAGAAGCAAATCAGAAGTTAAAAGTCATAAAACTTCAGGTATAACTCCTTTTTCCATGAGTTACATTTGTAGAACACCTGAAACTCTTGGACACCTTTTATTTGATAAGTGTGTTGATCTTCAAATCCCCCCTGGTCCTTTGCTTGGAAAACTAAAAAATGGAGAGGATATAGTTTTGGAAGATGGTAGAACTATTAAAAGCTCAGATGTTACATCTCCAAATAATCCAGGTGCTGTTATAATAGGTATGTGTAAATAAAAAACATTTATTTCTAAGAAAATACATTATGCTTTACAAAAAGTAAGTTAATAAAAATGATTTCAGTTATAGAATGTCCTACAGAAGATTACTTGGATTCTATTTTATCTGAAACTGCATTTTACAAGCATCAAAATGGTGATTCAGATGATCTTGCCGATGTTGTTGTTCACTTTACAGAAGCATCAATTATTAATAATCCAAAATACCAAGAATGGATAAATAGGTTTCCTACTCAAACAAAGCATGTATTTATAAATAAGGAAAATAAATCATTAGGTTCTGTAGGTGTTAAAAGATTGCAGTACAAATTAAATATGCTACATTCTGATATATTCCCCCTGCTTTCTGATTTTGGAATACCTTATCATCCGAGAACGAGAGATGATGTACCTTCTGAGCATACAGTAGTTCCTATTAGTGAAAACGTTCAAAAAATAGTAAAGCCATCATTTTTTCAAGAAGATTCACAAATACTGTCAAAAGATCCAATATTTTATAAATGTAATGAAAATCCTTTTATCAAAGGAGAAACTCTATGTAAAGTTTATATTCGACCTAAAAAAGAATTTGATTATTCTTACAACTTAGTTTTAAAAGAAGATAAATTTTTAAAAGAAGTTTTATCAATCGAAGGATTTCAAGAAGAATTGGAAAAGTTTAAATTTGAAGTGAAAAATTTTCCGGTTAAAAAAAAGTATCCAAAAGTTTTATTTTTGGGAACTGGTTCGAGTCAACCGAACAAAGTGAGAAATACAAGTGGCATACTAGTTTTTTTCGATACAGATGATTTTGTACTTTTGGATTGCGGTGAGGGCACATTTGGTCAGTTGGTCAGATTTTATGGATTACAAAAGGCTAAAGAAATATTAAGAAAATTAAAAGTTATATACATAAGCCATTTGCATGCAGATCATCACATGGGATTAATTACTATTTTAAAAGAAAGAAAATTAGCTTTCGATGAAAAAGTAGAATCTAGCGACAGTAGTGCCAATTTAGAAAATGAGGAATTTCAACCTGTTTACCTTTTAGCACCTATACAAATAAATAGATGGTTGACTTTGTTTGATGAAAATTTTGAAAAAATTTCTGGATTGTATCAATTGATTCCAAATAAATATATGGTATGTCATTCATTTATTTTAAACTTGAAATTTTTAATAACGAGCTCATTAGTGAAATTTTAAAAAGTACATTATCAATTTTTTTTTATAGATGAATGATAAATTGAACAATACTTTCTATAAGAATTGTATAAAAAGTATTAATTTGAACAATATAAGAACAACATTTGTGGATCACTGCCCTAATGCTTTTGGAGTAGCTTTCGTTCATAATAATGGTTACAAAATAACTTATTCTGGTGATACAAGACCTTGTGAAGCATTAGTTACTTTAGGTAAAAATATATTTGTAGTATATTGTAATAAATGTTTATTGTGTTAATATCCTTTTATAAATTTGTTATTTATTTATTTATTTATTTTTAAAGGAATGGACAGTGATATATTAATACATGAAGCAACCATGGATGATTCTTTGAATAAATTAGCTTTAAAGAAATTACATTCAACAGCTTCAGAAGCGATTGAAATAGGGAAAGCTATGAAAGCTAAATACATTTTATTGACTCATTTTAGCCAAAGATATGCTTATGTGCCTTTATTTAGTCACTTGTTTACAGACAATGTTGGAGTGGCTTTTGACAATATGATGGTAATTTAAAATTTTTTCTTTTTTAATGTGCATCTTAAAACATGGTATTACTTTTATATTAACGACTAATTGTATTACAGGTTTCAATTGATCAAATGCCACTTCTTTCAAAGCTGAAATCACTTTTGATCTTACTTTTCAAAAAAAGCTATGACTTGATGGAATCTAAAAAAGAAGTGCAAGAAATCAAGGAAAAAAGACAAGTGTGAAATTAAAATGCCAATTTATTTGTTGCATAAATAATAATTATATTGAAATAAAAATATAAAAAAAAAATTTATCGAGCCCTCACATCTTGTTATTTATCAATTTTTTTTTGTATAAAATAATTAACAAAATTATTGTTTTTTTTTTTTTTTTAAATTTTAAAATTTTTATCAATAAGTTTTGAGAAAATATAATATCATGTGTAGAAATTTATCTACACTAAAAATTTTTTAAAACAATGCTTTAATTTTAAAAGTGTTTTAATAAATAAGGATTTGTTTTTGTTAAATGAAAATAGAAAAGGTTATTTATATTATCAATATTGTAAATATTTTAAAAAAGAGTTGTTTAATGTATACTTTTTTTATTTCAAACAAATAAAATTTATTTTACATAGGCTAAATTTAAAAATTTTAAAAGTAATGCTTATTTATATATCAAAAATTAAATTTTAGCAAATTTGTTATTTTCTGGAATACTGACTAAAAAAAATTGCATTTACTTTGAAAAATTACTCATATAAATAAATTCATTAAGAATATTTATCATAAAATTACGTTCAAGTTTTGTTTTGAACGCTAGCAAATTTTGCTGAGAAAATATTATTTTTGTTTAATTTCTGAACGCGCCTCTAAATTTTTGATTTGTGAATTTGATAGTAAATTAACTGTAGCTAATTCGTCTAGTTTTCAACTTTCTGTTTAACATCGACTGAAGCATGCGTTACATGTAAATATTTGAAAATTTTTAATATTAAAAAAATATTTATGATTAGTTGGCAATATTTTTATTTTTATTAAATTAAAGGAGACATGTACTTAAATCATTTTATAAAGGTGGTACGTTTTATTGTGTAGAAAATATTATTTTTAACCGAATAAGGTTATGCCGAGTTTGTAACAGCACCTGTTTTTTTTTTTTTATTATTTAATTTAATTTGGGTGTTTAATTTTAATAATTTATTTCAAAGTACTTTTAAAAATTATGCTTTGTTTTATTGGTTTTGACTTGCAGAGTTAGTTTTGTAAAATTTATTTATCGTATTATATTAATGAATACTTGCTTAAAAAAATTTTGTAAACAATTTTATCAAATAAGGTTAAGAAGAATATGCTTTGAATTTTTGCGTTTTAACCTTTTTTTTTGTCGTTCTTAAAAATTATTTTTAAGTAATGTAGTTTATTCTTAATTTATAAATGATTTTATTAATGAAAGCAATAAGTGTATCAAAATATAATGTTTATAATGGATCAAATAAATTTTGTATTTACTTTCAGTTTCAAGGTAAAATTATGCCAGCCAAAAATTAAAAGTTACTTGTGACAGCGCTATTTTAAAGTAAATATGAGTGAACAGCCAGTGCCCTTAAAAAATTTGACTGATGTCAGTCAAATACTCAGAAAATGGGAAGATGAGCATAATGAACCTGAGTATGATCCTATTCCAATTTTAACAAGGCTAGCTGAAATTGTTGAAACTGAAATGGAAGCCTACATGAAAATGGATCCGGATCCGTTTGATGAAAGACATCCTTCCAGAGCAGATCCTAATTGTAATTTAGGGCATGTTTTAAAAGTGATATTTAAAAAAGATGCATTTATGAATAAGGTATATGTATAATTGAATTATTAAAAGTAAAGAAGCTGAAAAATAATATCACATTAAAAAAAATTTTCTTTTATCGTAGTTGGTGAACGATTATCTCAGAGATAATTATTGGAGTAGGCTCGGAAATACAGACAAAGATGACAGACAATTAAATATTGCTGCCTGTCGTTTGGTTTTAGATGTTATGCCTGGATTAGAAACATCAGCAGTATTTCAAACAGTGAGTTTTGTTATTGATTTCACATGTAGCTTTTTTCTCATAAAATAAATTTTTTTATTACATTTTTTATTATAAAATTTCAATTGAATTGATGGGTAAAACAAATTTCTTACAGCCAGATACTGACTCACTTATTTTAAGGCTTTTTAATTGGGCTGAAAAAGCTATTGAACCACTTCAAAGTTATGCTGTGGGACTTTTATCTGCAGCTATGGAAGTTCAAGACACTGCTGCAGCTTTCAGGTAAGAAATATATATATATAAAATTATTGACATACTTTTATTTATTCAACCATTTCTATAATTTATTTATTTATTTATTTTTTTTCAATAATAATTTTAGGGAGCAAAATGCTCATTTAGTACCTATCATGTTAAAAAGATTGCATAGACTACAAGAAAAAGCAGCAATGGAAAGGCAGCAGGCTGCCATGTCTACTTCTAGGCCGTTTGCACATCTGAATCATGAAAATACATGTGCTAAAAAAATTTCTAGTTAGAATTTTTATAGTTTTTGTACAATTTATATCTGCAATCGATTTCGATTGACATAATTTTATGACTTATTTCTATAATTATCAGGTAATAGGAATAGTGGAGGAAATTCTCCTCGTTTAACGTCACCTCCATTAATGAGTCCTCCTCCGACAGATTTGCAAATCCATGATAAAACACCTGTCAAAATTAATGGAGTTGTCACAAAGACCAAAAGAGATTCCTTTAATGGAGAAGGTAATGAGTGTATGTATATTTAAAATTTTGCATTTAGTACATTTGAATTTTTTTGCTAGTAAAATTAATTTTATTTAATAATTACACAATTTTTAAAAAAAAAAAATAAAGGTGATAAAATGGATATCGATTCCACACCACAAAAAAATCACGGAAATGCACGACAATCTACTCCTTCAGGAAGTGTCATAACATCAGCTGCGAGTGAATGTTCAAACTCATCCTGGGCTGAAATGGAATCTTTTGTTATAGCCAACGTTTCCATACATCCTTTAACCCTTGCTACTAGACAAATGCTGACTTTAAGATACTTAACACCAATGGGAGAATATCAAGAGGTTTTTTTTTTTTTTTTTTTTTTTATTTTCTCAAGTCTTTTTTCAAATTTTTCTTGAATACTCATTTAAAAAAAAAATTTTTTTCTTTTCAGTTTTTGAGTCACATATTTGAACACAACGCTTTGTCGTTAATTTTAAAATACACTAATATTCGAGAAACCAAAGAAACGCGATTAGGTTTTGAATCGTTAAAGTATTTGGCTGCTCTTCTTTGTCATAAAAAAGTTTCAATAGAATTTATTAACATGGGAGGATTAATAAGTTTGCTGGAAGTTCCGAGACCGAGTGTTGCTGCAACTGGAGTGTCAATCTGCTTGTATTATTTGTCCTATTGTGAGGATGCCATGGAAAGAGTTTGCCTTTTACCCCAATATGTAGTTTCTGATTTGGTCAGGTAGGGGGAGGGGAAAAAAAAAAAATTTTTTTAATGTTATTATTTATATTTATTTTAATTTTTAAAAAAATAATTTTAAAGCTACGCATTATGGTTATTGGAAAGATCGCATAATTCGGGAAGATGTCACGCGACCATGTTTTTCGGTTTATCTTTTCAATTTAGAGTTATTTTAGAAGAATTTGACGCTCAAGATGGTTTACGAAAATTGTACAATGTGGTGAGTACCCAAACGAAGGAATTGCTAAGAACAATAAAACAATTCACTTGTAATAACTCTATTAATTTAAATGTTTTTTTTTTTTTTTACAGATCAGTACATTGCCTATATTATCTGTAGAAGATGAAGTTTCATCGGTTTTAAACGAAGATGAAGAATGTTCCTACAGGCAAATTGTTCGCCATGTTACGGTTGCATTGAAAAGATATTACGAAGCTCATTTATATATAAAAGCGGAACAATTAAGAAGGGCGCAAGATAGAGATTGTGGTGAAAAAAATTTTCGTACAACATTACCTTCGTACAAAGTGAATATTTGAGCATATAAACATTATTATAATATTTAATTATTAATGAATTATATTAATTGAAAATGTTTTTTAGGCGTGCCGAGGTTCTCCGGAAGAAGTTCAAGCTCAAATTGAAACCCTTTTAGAATTAATGCCTTTTAATGCACCCTGGCCTTGCGTTGACGAACTTTTGCGTTTGGGTGGAATAACATTACTTCTTCAAATAATTGCTTTTACTTACGACTGGAATTTCAGCGGGAGGTGAATATAATATTGAAATTATAAACATAATAATAATAATAATAATAATAATTAGAAATATTATTATTATTAGTTGGATTGCTGTTATTATAATTAAAGTAAATTTAAATTTTCAGGGCTGAAACCGTGCATAGCGCTTTAAACGTTCTTGCTATTTGCGCCGTTCGCCCAAAAGTTCAATTAGTTTTCTGTGATCGTTTAGAACTCCCTGATGAAGCTATGACAATTGGAATGAATATAATATTAGGAGCTAGCGAAGGAGAAATCGTGGCCGATCCTGACGTTCAAAAAGCCGCTTTACAAGTTATTATCAATTGCGTTTGTGCACCGATACATAGGGTATATGCTTAATTTATCGTGGCCATTTTTTTTTTTTTTTTTTTTTTTTTTTTTTTGTAAAAGGTAAAAATTAAATTGTTAATTAATTAAATGTTTTTAAGGTGGGAGTGTGTTTGGGAAGATATTCGGCTAATGGTTCGGCTATAAAGAAAAAAACTTGTCGTTCAAGCGAAGAACTTATACAGAAAATGTGGGAGAGTGTTAGAGAAAATAATGGGATTATTGTAATTATTGTGTAAAACACGAGTAGTGTTGTTTTTCAATTGGTGTCGTGCTACGTTTGGTAGATTTTAATATCAAATTTTTTTTTTGATTAGGTTTTACTTATGCTAATGATGATCAAAACTCCCATCACAGATGCGGATTCCATTCGTGCTTTAGCTTGTAGAGCTCTTGCCGGTTTGGCTAGATGTGAAAAAGTTAGACAAATTGTTAGCAAACTGCCCGTTTTAAGCAATGGATCGATGCAAGGTAAGTGCGCTTAAAAGAATATAAATAAATAAGTCAATCATACTAAAAAAAAAAAAAAAATTTCAATTTTTTTTCTTTTCAGTTCTTCTTAGGGATCCGATTCTTCAAGAGAAAAGACAAGAACACGTTCAATTTCAAAAATATTATTTAGAATTAATTGAACACATAACGGGAAAAAATCAACCGACTGCAAGCGATGATATTTCTCTACCCAACATCCACAGAGCGAACGTCGTTGCTCAAACCCGCATACAATACAACAAAAATCAACTTTATCAACTGATGTACGAGCAATTGATTCAAGATGGTTTGCAAGAAGCAGCAAACGCTTTGCAAAAAGAAGCCAACATTAGTCCTCCTCCGAAGCAACAATTAGCGATTCATCATAAATCGAGTCCCGTGCCCATCAGGGTAAGGTTTTTTTCATATAATCCACAAGCAAATAATTTTTAAAAAAATGTTTTTTTTTTAAAATTTATTTCTGTATTGTTTTGTAGCCTCGTAATAATGTGTTCACGCCGCGTGCTTTAACATTTTGCAATCATGCAACACCTCCAGCTTCTAACAACACATCAACAACAGCAACGCCTACAACTTCCAATTCCGTCATTTCCAGTTATTCAGTTGTCAATACTTCTCCACATATAAAATTAAATTTAGCTAATTCAAGGTATTTTCATTCGTAGGTTTAAATAAATTGTGTTGCAAAATCTTTTTATCACGCCTAAATGAAATTTTTTTCTTTTTTATAGAAAAGATAAAATGTCTCCAAGTGTACCTTCTTCATACGGTTTAAATCGGTCGTTACAAAAACAAACAAGTTGGGATTCATCTCAACTCGCGGCTATGGTCACGCCTACGTTACACATGAAAACTCCTCAAACGATTGCAAATTCTTATTGTCACAGCGATAGAATAACTTTGGATTCAATAGTTACTGAATATTTAACGAATCAACATGCACTCTGTAAAAATCCAATGGTTACTTGTCCACAGTTTAATTTATTTGTGTAAGTTAATTAATTAATTTGTTTTAAGTTAATCAAAAATATTGTTGGGTAAACGACCTTGATAACGTTTTACATTTTTTTGTGTTGCAGACCTCATAGATGTCCAGATCCGAAATCTAGAAATTCCACTCCGAATAATTTTACAACGCGTTTTATAAAACGTCAAACCGGATATAAAGTTAGCAATAAAATGGATAATCGATTAGGTCACTCTAGGTTTTGTCCCGTTCGAACGTTTAGATTAAACGACGAAGGTGGATTTTTTACCTGTTGCGAATTTCTACCTTGCGGAAGACTCATTGCAATGGGAACTTATCAAGGAGAAGTTTGGCTTTATAACCTTCACACGGGAGCGGTATGTCGAAATGAAAACTTGCCCCCCTGAAAAGAACCCAAATTAACATGAGAAGGTGCATAAATTGTCCTTTTTTTTACTTTCCCTACAGGAAGAGGTTTCCGAACAATGTCACGATTCTTATTTGTATAATATTCAAACTAATAGAAAGGGTGATTTAATGTTGACATCATCAACTTGGAGAAGACCCTTATCAGCACTTTGGGGAATAAGTTCGGTGTTTGTTATGAAGTGAGTAGTTCACACACACCCCCTCCCCCCCCCCGAAGAGTTTTAACTTGTTTTAAAATGTTAAATTTGACCTTTCAATTGAATTTCAGGCAACCCCTTCAAGAAGAAGAATATGCAGAATTCAGTAAAGTGAATCAGGACAGGATAGTGGGAACAAAAGCATCGACAGCAACGGTTAATAAAATTCTTTTCTTCCCAAAGAGAGAGAGAAAAAAAAGGTAACACAAAAGAATCATACGATGAACCTTTTTTGTTTTTTTTTTTTTTCTAGATATACGACGTTGAAACGGGAGTGAGCATATTAACTCTGTCTCCGAGGCTTTCAAACACGTATTCGAAAAATAGAGCCACGTATAATCCGACGGACGAACTCATATTGACCGATGGAGTTTTGTTCGATGTTAATTCGGGAAAAGAAATTCACAAATTCGACAAATTAAATCCGGTTTTATCGGGTGTGTTTCATCCGAACGGTTTAGAGGTGAGTGTCGGAATCGCAATCGAAGCGTCATTTAAGACAAAACAAGATATTAATTCCCTTCCTCCCCTCTCTTTATCTCCCGCAGATAGTGTCAAATACCGAAATATGGGATCTGAGAACGTTTCACTTACTGCGAACGGTCGCGGCATTGGATCATCAACACGTTTTGTTTTCGACACCCGAAAGTGCTCTTTACACGTATAGTTTCGAGCAGGAAAACGATGAGGATACAACGTTCGAATCGTCATTTAAAACATTAGATTCTAGTGATTATTCAAGTATAGGTAAAGAGAAAGTAAAAAAAAGAGTAAAAGTAAAAAATGTAAAAAAAAAAAATTTTTTTTTTTTCCCACCGATTCTTATGGGATAATTAAGAAGAAGGTTCCGATGAAAAAAAAAATATTTTAATTTATCATAACCGTCAGGTGTGTGATTGTCCTTGTGTCAGAGCAGCAGCAGCAGCAGCAGCAGCAGCAGTAGCAGAGACAGGGCCATTGTAAAATTAGATTGTTTTTTTTTTTTTTTTTTTTTTTGTCTCCTATCTCCAAGTTTGATATAAATTTCTTCGGACAGGTTTATACTGTGACCCCGTGCTTTTCAAGTTAAGGCTGAGAGGTGAATTGTGTGTGTTATCATGTAATATCGGATAAGGAAAGAAAATTAAAAAAAAATGCGGTCAAAGGTAAGGAGCCTGTTGTTAAGCCGCTGTCGTACATACATACATACTTAGTTACTTAATCATCCCATAAGAATCCCGACCGATTTAATTTGTTTTTTTTTTTTTGGGGGGGGGGGTGGGGAGGGCGCACGCACGCTCGCGAGTTTTCATCATTCTTACATTATTTTTTCGATTTTTTTTTTTTTTTTTTAAAATTCATCGCAGCTACCATTGAAGTGAAGAAAAACGTTTATCACATGGCATGTAACAAATGGGATACGCAAATTGCTGTCGTTGAAAACGTTGGAGAATTTCACACGGTTCAAGAATCATCCGTCCGATTATACGACGTTGGAAGAATACGAGATACCGAAGACGATGCCGTACGAAATCAAATAATTTTTTTTTCGAAAATTTTACCTTTAAAAAAACAAACAAACAAAAAAAAAAAATTTTTTAATTATTTTAACAGGAAGAAGAAGAGGAAGAAGATGACATGGACGGAAGCGAAGAAGGTTCAAATTCTCAAAGCGGTTCCGATAACGATGACAATACGGAAAATGGTAATTTCCCCCTCCAATCCCCCCCTTTTATTTAAAAGAAAAAAGTAATTGAATTTGAAAAAATTTAAATTTCAGATAATAACGGAGATAATAACGGAGACGAGGGTAATTTGGAAGATCTCTTGAACGAGGGGAGGTGACAACAACGAAGACGATGATGATCCAGAATTGTCGTACTCAATTCGGGGGATAGCAGTTCGGATGGATCGGATGATTCGTTTTTCGGAGACGTGTGAACTTTTTTTTTTAAAAACATAATAATAATAATAATAATAAGTGCCAGTCAGTTTTTAAACGGAATATCGTTTTGAAATAAAAAAAAAAAAAAAAATTGTAATAAAAATCTCGAGAACGAAACAAAAAAAAAAATTTTTAAACCGAAAAAAAAAAAAAAAAAAGAGTGCAAACAAATGCAAACACACATACGAAAAATGAGTTCATATGAGTTTTTCCTTTTTTTACCTCTTTTACGCCATTTTTCTGCCTCTATTTCTATCTTTCTCTTACTCTTTCTCTTTCTATCTCTCTATCTCTCTCTATTTCACCTCGGTAGTATAAATAAAGTATTGCCAAACAGTTAAAATTAGTGAAAAATTATAAAATGAAATCAAATATTTTTTTAATAAACAAAAGAATAAAAAAAAATGTTTAACTTTTATATTCTAAAAAAAGGGTAAAATGAATATTTTATTAAAAATAGTAATAATAATAATAATAAGAGTTTATCAATAATGATAAGTCATGAATACAATAAAGTTAGTAAAAAGTATTAATGAATTTTGATAAATTGGTTTCCCTTTGACACAATTTTTTAACAATAAATAAAATATTTTATAGAAAAAAAATTTGTTTTGGGGCCCATTCAAATGATTTTACAAATAAAAACCTAATCAGAATTGTCATAATGCAAAAAAAAAAAAAAAAATAACTTTTAACGACAAATTCAAATTTTTATTAAATTAGTTCGAACTGATTATTCGATTGACTTTGTTTGTTTGACGAAGACAAACAAACATAACAATCAGTCAATATGTACAAACAAATTGTTTGTTTGTATTGTGTTGAATATATATATATCGATTTATAAAATCATGTTAATTTTTTCTCGATGCTTTAAATTTGCTTATTTTTTTATTATTCGATTCAAATTTTTTTACAGTACTACTATCATCAAATGAATTTCTTTCTGCGACATCATTAAATACAATCGTTGATGTTGAATGTATTGAACATTCTTCACCTTCGCTTTCACTATCATAATAACTTTTCAATTTTTTAACTTTTTCCAATTCTTTTTCTTTATTAGGATTAAATGAGTTTTTTAGTACAGAGGTTTGAGATGTTTTTAACAATCCAGAATAATTATCGTAGATATCACTTGGTGAATTTATTTCCGAATTATTTTTCAAGTTTTTTATAGGTTCAACATTGGAAAATTTTATTTCCAATCTAAGAGGTTCCTCATCTGATGAATTAATATCACAAGCAAAAGAAACTTTTCTTTTTTTATTACTGTTACTGTTACTTGCAGTATTACTATTATTATTATTATTAATATTGTTTTCGATTGTTTCATCAAAACAATCGTTAATAGATTCTGGCTTATTAACAGTATCATTCCTAGTAGAATTTTTATTTACTGAAATTACTTTACTATCATTTTCATCACCACCATCTTCTAATGAATCATTTTCAATATCATCATCACTACTACTATAATCTTCGTTTAATCTGTTTAATTCATCTTCTAATTCTTCTCGAAGTTCAAGTTCGTCTAAATGTTTCCAAAGATCTTCTTCTGTATCGATTGTCTTTTTTTCTTTATTTCTCAATTCGGCTAACTTTAATCTATATTCTTTTTCTTTTAACCTATGCTGCTTGTTCCATTCTTCATTTTCTTCTTCGGTAACATATTCAATTATTTCAGGTCTTTCAGCATTTCCGAATGCATCTTCTTCCTCAGGTAAAATTGTTTTATTTAAAATTAATTCTTTTTCCTTTTCCAACTTCTGAATCATTTCATTACAATTTTTAATTCTACGATTGCATAATTCTAGGGTTTGATGTGCAGTTTTTTTAACAAACCACGTTTCACCCAAATTAACTAAATATTCGTTAGTGTGTACTAATTTTCCCCTCATTAAAGCTTTTGGACCGATAGGAACCATAACATCGTGACTTATTTTTTTAGGAAGAATCGACAAAAGTGATTTTGTAGTTTCTAAATCGGTTTTATACTTACACCAAATGACGGACGTCTTATCATTTTGATCTAATTTTTGATTTCTTAATGATTCGTACCATTGATTTACTTCACCGCTAATCGAAGTCATTTCAAAAAAAAAAATTAAACAAACAAAAAAACTGGCACTATTAAAAAACTACTTGACTTAACTCTTTATAACCATTAAAATCAAGATGCCAACTTTGTTTTTTTTTTTTTTTTTGGCGGGAAAATTTATACAAAAAAAAACAAAAGTATAATGCCCGCCATTTTAATTTTTACAGAAAAGCATCGCAAGTTACATAAAAAGTTTGTTTTTATAATTATGTAAGTAATAACTAATACTTTTTATAATCTTTTTTTATTTCGTAGATAAAAATTTGTTTTAAATGTAAAATAAAAAACGATGTATAACGCATTTATATTTAAAGTTATAATTTTAAAATATGGAAAATTACATTTTACTAAAAATTTATACTTACAAGTATAATATCAAACCTATGGAGATTTGTTTATATAAACATGATTTGAATATCTTAAGAGGTTAAATTTTAAAATAAAAGTTATGATTTTCCATATTTTACATAAAATTAAGAAACTTTTTACTGTCAAAATACTATTGTTATCATTGATTTGATATTTGTCTTGAAAATTAATTTTTGGTATTGAAAACATCATCAAATTTTAAAATGATGTAGTAAAGACTAACATTTAAATTTTCTTTAAACAATTTATATTTATTTGTTTAAATTTTAAATATTAAACAGGTTTTCATTTTTTATACATGACAATGCAATGACAAGGTTTAAATCAAAATTAATGTAAATTAATTAAAAATTATTATTTACATTTTCAAGATCTTTTCTTGACATTCTATACATGTGCCATGAATCTTTTTCAGTTATATTTTGAGCTCCAAAATATTTATAAAATTTTGTGGCCGGATTCCAACTTAATACTTCAAAATCTAATTGCTGACATCCTGTGTCGATGGCTTCCTATAAAAAAAAATTACAATTTAAATGTAAAAAAAAATTATTTTCCTTTTTAAATTTATTATTTATTTTTTACTTTGACAACTGTTCTAAATAGTTTTGATCCTACGGATTTTCTTCTAAGCTCAGGAGTACAATATAAATCTTCTAAAACCATAGCCTTTCCAGTCCACGTTGAATATTTATTATAATATAAAGCATAACCGATCAATTTATCATCTCCAGGTATGTGAGCAACTAATAGATTGAACAATGGAGGCTCCGTTAGAAATCCATCCTTTTCTAAATCTTTTTTTTTTATTTAATAAAAATAATTTATTGCTTAAAAAAAAGAAATCAAATTTTTCTTCTTCTTCAACTTATTACTACATTTTTAAAAAGAATAAACTATCATACCTTTAGCATCGATTTTAGGTCCATTTGGCATTTTTTGAAACTCTGCTAATTCCTTAAAAATAAAAAAATTTTTTCACATTTCTTTTCTTTTCATTTCTTTTTTTGAAATAATTCATACCTGAATTAATCTCCTGATTTCTGTACAGTCTGATTGTACACCTTTTCTGATCTTGAAATCGTCCACATTTTTTTCGCTGCCTAAAAAAAAAAATGATTTAGGATTTTTAGGTACTTTCATGGCACCGAAACGTCAGATTTATATACACGTGTAATAATTTTGTTGACACATAAGCGGTTTTAACAAACACAAACATTTAAATATTGTAATAAAATAAAATATACAAATAAATGCGTTCGAGTGTTTGTTTGCGGTTAGTCATAAAGTCAATTTGTTTGAAGATCGTAAAGAAAAAAAAAAAACCAAATATTTTTTATTTAAACACGTGTCAGACACGTGTTATATATAAATTCAGGTTCCTACTCGAACAAGACGAATTTAAATTCATGAATATTATAAGGAAAGCAACCCTTTTGCTAAGATTATATCTCGAGAACATTTAATTATTACTTTCTTGTGACTTAATAAAAAAAAAAAAAATTATAAACTCTTAAATAATAATAGAATATTTTTGTTTAAAAAAAAAAATTTTTAACGTTCGTTCGATAAAATAATTTTTTAAAATTTTATTTGGTGTAGAAAAAAAAAAAAAAAAGACTAACCCTATTTATATAATGTCCAGCCTCTCCTCATTCTCTCTCTCTCAGGAAAAATAATGATAAAAAAAACTACAACCGTAGAATCTGAATTAGGGGTTGAAAAAAAAGGGGAAAAGGGAAAAAAAAAGTAATAAGAAATACAGGAGGGTGGGGGGGGGTGGGGCTAAATTTATTAATAATTAAATAACTTTTCTTATATTCTATTTCTATATCTCTTAAGAATTCTCATAGAGACTAAGAACACGCCCAATTTTATATTTCATTGACTTGCGTCTTTTAAACATTTTTTTTTTCAATATTTAATATTAAAGGAAAAAATTTAAAAAAAAAAAAAATATTATGATATCATAATCGTATATCGTATCATTCGAGAGAGAAAAAATTTATTATTATTATTATCATTATTAATATTTTGTAATTTTTTTAAGAAGAATAAAAAAAAAAATAATTTAAAAAAAAAAAAACGAATTCTGGGTAATTTTTGATTCTGTTTTTTTTTTTTTTTTTATTTGAGTTAAGAAACAAAACCGATTTAGTTTTGAACAAACCTTTTGTTTCCCACTCCCCCTCCCCCCACCCTGTCAGCAAAATATAATTTTATTATTTGTACAAAGATATTAAACTTTTGTGTTTTTTTTTTTTTTTTTTTACAGGTCTACAGTATACAGTATGAAAATGAAAAATAAATATTTTCCATCTTGATGTTTGTTTACCAACAAATGAAATTCAATGAATAAAAAGGTAAGAGAAAATTTTTTTTGTTTTTTTTTTTTCTTTATTAATAAAATAATTCAATATGTCCATAAAAATATTTTCGTTTACATCCGAACCAGAAGAAAATTTGACGGTTATCAGGACAAAGGAATTAATTTACTTCGATAAAAATTATTATTATTATTTATTTACATAAAATAATTTCGGTTTACGAAAAAAAAAAAAAAAAAAAAAAGGGAATTTTTTTTTTTTTTTATTGACTTGAATTGTTTTAAGGGTATGCCCCCCCCCATTTGTAAAAGAATCGATATAGAGAACGCATGTCCAATTGTGAGAAGCACCTGTCCATTATGTATGTATATGGCAGGTGATGCTGGTTTTATCCAAGCAAAACACCCCAGAACAATTGGTAGGACGTCTATAATATAGCCTTGTTGTTTTCATTTGTTTGTTATAAATATTTTTTATTTATTTATTTATCGAAAATTTTATTAATTCGTCATATTTTTGGGTAAGAGAGCAAAAAAAAAAAAAAAATTGCACAATATGCAAAATGAATTGCACTTGTTTAACACACGCATTTTATGAAAAAAACACAAACACAAACACACAACTTATGCAATGAGTTTAAAAAAAAAAAGAAATTCCAAATAAATCGTTATTATTATTATTATTATCAATTCCTAATATTATTAATCGTTATTAAACTTTTTAAAATTCAATTTAATTAAAAACTATTTTCATCATTATTATCATCATCAATTAAATGCACCGTTAAAATTTATTTTTTTAATTAGATAAATGAAAAAATTTTAAACTATCACGACGTGATAATTGTTTAACGGCGGTTAATTAATTATTTATAACAAAAAAAAAATTTAAATTTAAATTAAATTTAAATTTAAATGTTTTTCTTTTGTCGCACAATAATTTTTTATTTAGTTATTATTAAAAACAAGAAAAAAAAAAGAAAAAAAACATAAAACAAAAAAGAATTTTATTTATGTTTATGAACTTACAAACGAAATTATTAATATTTACAAAAAAGAAAAAAATTTCAATTAAAAAATCACATTTATTCACCGTTACAGTATTATTATTATTATTATTAATATTATTATTATTATTATTATTATTATTATTATTATTATTATTATTATTATTATTATTATTATTATTATTATTATTATTAAAATTAATAACATTCTGGCAAATTAAAAATAATTTTAATCGTTATTATTGTTTTTTTTTTGGTTGGTTTTTTAATGTTGTCGCGCTTTTGTTATCCGTCGTCGTTTTTATTCTTTTATTATTAATAAATTTTTTAAAAATTTATTATTTAATTTATTATTAATTTATACGAATATTAGGGTAATTAAAAAATTAATTATTTAAATAATTACGGTAATTAAATAAAAAAAATATTTATGCATGCTTTGTTAAGCTGTCAAATTCATCACAGTTTTTTTTAGTTTTCTCGTTTATTTTTGTTTTTTTTTTTTTTTTTTTTTTTTTTAAATAATTTAAATCGTATTTAATTTTGCAATTAAAAATAGAAAGAGAGAGAGAGAGAGAGAGAGAGAGAGAGAGAGAAACTGTAAATTTTCCCCTATTCTAAAAAAAGAAAATGAATCGGTTAATGAGTCCGAGTCGAAGCGTTAACGGGGGGGTAAAAAAAAAAAAAAAAAAATTCCAACGATCTAATGTGTCACCTTTTTTTTTTTTTTTGACTAATATACCTTTTGCTAAAGTATTCCTCCGACCCTAATTTGGCAAAATCGATATATTATTATTATTATTATTATTATTATTATTATTATTATTATTATTATTATTAACCTTTGAATTGTCCTTTTACAAAAGGAAAAAAAAATTTTTTTTTCTTTTCTCTTTTATTATTTTTACGAATAAATAATCCGAAATGATACTTTTGGAAAATTTTCCCATGTTTTTTATTTTAATTACGTCACTTTCTTATTAATTAATTAATTAATTAGTAATTTTAATAATAATAATAATAATTCTAATACGAATCAATTGTTTAGAATTTTTTTTGTTTTAAACAATTAAAAGAAGGATGGACATAGAAATTTTTGTTCATCCTTCTTCGAATAATAGCCACGCCTACGAATTTTTATTTCTTTTCACCATATTCGGATTATTTTTAGAAAATCTAATATGGAGGACGAGAAAAACGATTTAGAAAAATATAAAAGCAATAAAAAAAAAAAA